TGGGAAAAGAACGTGGGCACTCCCTTTAGTTACTTCACGTATGGAGCCGCTTGCACAGAGGTGGAGGTAGATTGCCTCACTGGAGATCACGTGGTAAGATATACAATAGGACTGTTTAAAATGATTTATTAGTATCTGCTCTCTTTGCTTGTACTGATGTATGAAAGACAAGTGCATCGAACAACTGATTTGTTAGCAATCTAATTGTTTTAAAAAAACGTGTCACAAAGGCAGCTGTATTGATTAAAAATTCATTTTTCCTACAAGATTCTGCGAACGGATATCGTCATGGACCTTGGAAAAAGTTTGAATCCCGCACTTGATATTGGACAGATTGAAGGCGCCTTTATGCAGGTAAAAGCCTATTCACACTATATCCCTGGATAGTCAACGTGCATTCTAGAAATTCAGAGCGCGGCAGCGAGAAACAATATATTTTTTTCCTTTATTTATACTACATTTGTCATTACTTCTTTTTGATATTCTGATTACGCCCTGCAGTGGAACCATATCGTTTGTATATTTTTCTTCAATTTTATGCATTTCATTTCATTTGCAGGGGCGTGGTCTCTACACCTTAGAACAGCTGAAGTACTCACCCGATGGTCGCCTGTTGAGTTGTGGACCAGGTGCATATAAAATACCGGCATATAGTGACATTCCGCGAGAATTCAATGTTTCGTTACTGAAAGGGTCTTCCAACAGTCATCCCAGAGCAGTGTATTCTTCTAAGGTAATTTGTGCTTTGTTTTATCTTTGAAGAAAATGATTTGGACGAAAAAATGTAACGATAACGGGGGTGGGCAATTCTTTACAGGTACTGATATAGTGATGAATCAAAGTGCTAGGTTAGCTCAACCGTATGGAAGAGTGAGGCAAAATGCTTTGTCGCACCTCAATTTACATATATATATATATATATATATATATATATATATATATATATATATATATATATATATATATATATAATTTTATTTTATTTATTAATTTATTTATATTTTGATACGTCAGATGTCAGTTTAATTACACTTGAATTCGGCAATGTTTATTTTTAGGGAATCGGCGAACCACCCCTAGTTTTGGCGTTGTCCGTATTCTTTGCTATCAAAAATGCCATTGCCTCGGCCAGGGCCGACGCTGGCCTTGCTGGGAGATTCAAACTGACCAGTCCAGCTACGTCCGAGAAGATAAGAATGGCTTGCGAAGACCAGTTTACTCAAAAGGTATGTGTGCATTCGTGTGCGCGTTCATCTGGACTAGATTACACATATGATATGTGTGCTTGTATTTGCGCTTTTGGTTTATATTTATCATCATTCTTGCATAAAATAAAGGTGCAAATTAGCATAAAAAGCAACCCATTTTCTTTGTACATGGAAACTAATGGGAATGCTAAATTTAACTCGAGACCAACGTTACAAACTTAAAACTGTTCATATTATAATAGAACTAATTCACAATACCTGATTTTTAATTTCAGTTCCCCTCAGCAGAGCCAGGGACATACAAGCCATGGTTTGTGGAGGTGTAATACACAGCCAATGGTATTTAAATGGACGACGGGGTTTTTCATCCCCCCCCCCCCGACACTACAAATGCATCAAGTGGTCTATTCTAGGCATATTGACTTTTTAAAATAGCACTGAATGATATACACTTTATTCTGCACATTTGTGTAAAAGTAGAGGACCGTGTGATCCCGATGTGCGTCTATAATGTCTGCTTTCTCCCCCTGGGCCACTAGAGTGAGGAACGTAGAATTTTGAGGATAAATAAACTTGCTATAGGGGAGTTTTAGGGAGACTGGGGCTGGGGTCTGTGGATGGCATGAATGGGGTATTCCTCATATTGGCATTATTTTGTTTATCATAAGTAGTCACAAACTACACTATTTCTGAAGGTGGATGGTTCTATTTTTCCTCATAAGTAATTATTTCAACAATACTTTTTTACAAATAGCTTTACATGAAAGAAGGATTACCTATGTTAATGTTGTTATGATGTTTATTGTCAATAAACAAGAGCCAGACAGCGGCACAGATATCCATGAGAACGGGGTCCTGGCGATGCTAATTTTAATTTATATTAAGTCAATTCCAGCTAAATCTAACATGCAGCAAAAATTGCCTATTTGCTTTATATTAAGGAGCATTAGTAATAGGGTCATAGAATCCCTGGGGGTGGGGATGTACCTATGGATGGATTTGGTGAAGTGCGGACTATGCGATGACTGTCCATCGGGAACATCTAGTTGCTGTAATTATTATTATTATTACTAATATTCTTGCTGCCGTTACTGTTGCTGTTATAAAAATAATTTTGTTATAATAATAATTTTTGAATGACAGGAATTCGTTGTGAATGAATGTGCAACTTAAGAATAAATAGCAAAAACGCCAGAAAAAATAATTTAAAGAATGTTTCTCGCTGCCTGAAAGTAAGCATTGAAACAATATAATCTTAGGATCTATATAATCTTAAAGTATCTTTGTAAATGCCCAATGGCAACTTTCTTCTCATGACTGTGAAAGCAACTGAGTTATATCCAGGAAAACGTTTCTAAAGGTGGCACAAGGAGAGCTGTACCTTTATACAGCATATACCTTAAATTTCCTGGAAATTTCAACTCTTTCTGAGTCATATTTCTTCAATTACCAAGGCATGAAATGTAGCCTACCATATGCAAATCGTGCATAGAATTACAGGCCTGTAGCCAGCAATTTCAAAAGGGGGGTTCTTTTCTGAAAAAGTGGACCCTTTACCATGAAACCTTCATGTACCTAGATAAAATTTTACCAAGAAAGGACCTTTTCCCAGCAAAAGGTGGGTTCTTTCGAACCCCCCGAACCCCCCTGGCTACGGCCCTGGAATTAACAACTGATATCTAAGTTTCTACTTTTTGAGCCACTTTTAAAGGCTAACTGAGATAGAGATTGATCACTTTCACTCAGGACGTGATAACTATTTAGCTCTCGATATTTATAGATATTTATAGACAGTAGTTTCTTAAAGGGAACGCTGTGGTGATAATGTGAAAACTGCTGAAATTTCCAGAATATTTCCTAAATGCCGTATACTGCACTGTATGCTGACTACCGACAATACGTTAGTATACCTGTATTCAATAAGTCTGTCTATCGCATCATCACACGCCAAAATCGGTATGAGGTAAACGTTACCTGGAGCCCCCTTTCTAAGCTACTTAACGTTCAAACACATCAACATCGATTTTTTTCTCAAATTTTCATTCCAACTTTGAACGTTGAGTGGTATTGAAAATGGCCTCATTGGATCACAGCAGATCGTATCATAAACCGTGCCTTGGGCTAATAGAGCTGACGCGTTACTCGCGATCTATTATTAACAAAGGGCATTATGTAAGAATTCGATTGCTCTTTTAGATACTGTCTTGATACTAAATGTTGTCGAAAAACCCACGAATCTATTGAAATAGTTTCGAATTGCAGGCGCAGTCGGTATTTTGAGGTAAAATCCATTTTTGTATGATTTTTTGCATCGGTACACATTGTTTTTGATTATGTTAAAGATATTTGTACATAGAAAATTATGATGAATGGATTAAAACTAGCCTACTCATTTCAACTTGTGATTCCAACGAAATTAATTTTTCCCAAAGACGAATTTCCTAGACATAGCGTAAGAAGCAGCTACAAAATTCCACCTACGTTTTTCCATCGCACTATCCAAATTGCTAAATTAATTTCTAGTAAAGCTTTTATAAAAGTGCCTCACGGTCATTTCATATATTAGGGTAAAAAGAAATGTTTGTTTTACATTATGATGATTGTTAACAGTGCTTGTAAAATCATTCTTGGGGATGATATAGCACTTTCAGTAGAACGAAATCGTGTACTTCCAATTCAACGTGAAGACAAAAAATAATTCAAACAAATGTTCTTAGCTGAAGGGCTCAATCCAGCGACTTCACAATAGATTCCCAAACAACCGGCCTCATTTTCCAAGGGGAAATCAACCGTATTACCTGATATTCAATTCAACTCATTTTCGTGTACTACTATCATGACACCACAAGGTTACGTATCGAGACACTTATTACTATAAGGGTACAAGCTTACATTAACTTGCTACATTGTAGTTCTAAGTAAGGACATGTAACTGACACGTGTCTGTCTGTCATAAGAACACTTTCTCACAATAACACAAATATGAGAGTCCTAAGAATGTTATCTGATCCTAAACATAGCTTGTTGTCATTAATATTTGGTGCCAATTATCGAATGCAACCTCTCCAAATTATGTTCATACAAAATATCGATCATGTAATAATGACAATACAGGAAGAGTCAAGGGAAACCGTGAAGACACAAACAACCTGCCTACTGTGGATCATATCCTGTTTGATCGTCTGGATAGAAGCTCCTTTATTCTTTCCAATGGAAATTTGAAAAAGAACCGATCCAGAGATGTGTCTTCTCCTTGTTCGGCTGCTTATTCAGTGGTGTCTATTCTGGGGACTCACGTGCGGTAAGAATATAATATTTTTACTTTTTTTGGATATAAAACCGTCATTTTAACACATCATCAAAAAGGCAAATTTGAAGTCTGCAGTACTCTATCTTTAACTTTGCAGTGCACAAGTACTTTAAAAGCGTATTATAAAAAACAAGAATGCGAAAGAAATTTAAAGATTGTTACGCATTCCTTTCGAAACTGGTTGGATGATAGAATATCTAAAATAATACTCAATTAATAATCTAACCAAAGAAACGAGATTTCCCTAAACAATAATATAGACAAAAAGAAAAAAAAGGAATTTTGGTCAGGTCTTTAAATAGAAAACATCGCCACCTATTCCCAACTGTTGCGTATTTCTGAAGGACGAATTAATTAAAATGTATTGTTTCATTTTAGTAATTAAATTAAAATAATTTTTAAAAAATCGTCACTTTTTTGTTTTAAATATAATATTTACAGCCACAACGTCACAGGACACAGCCTCCATATGCACATGCACCATGTTGATTCACAGCGCACAATCCCATGCAACAACTCAGAGCATTTTTGACTCAATTTGGGAAAGTACAACATCACACTACACTGGGACTGTAACGACGTTTTATACACAATTCGCAACATCGCAACCGAGAGGAATTACCAGTGCTACTACAGCCGTCAGTCCTGTTGAAACAACCATCATTAAAATGAGCACATCTCCCACAGTGGTAAATGCTATGACGGACCCAGTAACAGAAATCGACGGAGAAACAAACAGTGAAATCACAGCAGAGGTCCCTTCTGGTACGTCCAGTGGAGATAAAACTACTGGTTTGTTTGCAGCTGAAACCATGAGTGCTAGTATTGATGCAGAAACTACTGCTACAACCAATGCAGCCGGAACCACAAGTGCTACCTCTGAAGCTGCAACCAGAGGAACATCTATTGCACTGGACACCACTAGTACCAGTACAAGTACTAGTTTTGATGCAGAAACGGCTGGAACAAGAAATGCCGCTGAAACCACTGGTTCTACCACTGGAGCTACGACTGCTGGTGCATCCGTTGCATTGGACATTTCTAGTATTGGTCCTGAAACAAATGGTACTACCAATGCTTCCGAAACAACTAGCACTACCACTAGAACTACCACTATGGGGACATCCGTTGCAGCAGACACCACTACTACTAGTATTGCTGCAGAAACTACTGGTACAGCCAGTGCAGCCTCAAGTACAACCACAAGAGCTGAAACTTCTGGTACACCCCTTACAGTAGACACCAGTAGTACCAGTATTGCTACAGAAACTACTGGAACAACCACTGCAGCTGAAACCACAAGTCCTACCACAAGAGCTGAAACTACTGGAACATCGCATGAATTAGACACCACTAGTACGAGTTCTGATGCAGAAACCACTGGTTATGCTATTGCATCTGAAACAACAAGTTCTTCCAGAAGAACTGAAACTACTAGTACATCCCATGCAGTTGACACCGATAGTACTATTATGGATGCAGAAACAACTGGAACAACCACTGCGGCTGAAACCACAAGTCCTACCAGTGGAGCTGCAACTCCTGGTACATCCCATGCAAGATACACGGCTAGTACAAGTACTGATGCAGAAACAACAAAAACAATCACAGCAGCTGAAACCACAAGTACTACCACAAGAGCTGAAACCACTGGTACGTCCATTGCAGTAGACATCCCAAGTACTACTATTGATGCAGAAATAATTGGAACAACCACTGCAGCTGAAACCACAAGTCCCACAAGTGGGGCTGCAACTTCTGGTACATCCCATGCAGTAGACACAACTAGTATGAGTACTGATTCAGAAACAACGAGTACAACCGCTGCAGTTGAAACCACAAGTACTACCAAAAAAGCTGCAACATCTGGTACATCCTTAGCAGTGGACTCCAGTAGAACTACTGTTGATGCAGAAACAACTGGAACAACCAATGCAGCTGAAACCACAAGTGCTAACAATGGAGTTGCAACTTCTGGTACATCCAATACAGTAGACACCACCAGTGCAATTAATGACGCAAAAACAACTGGAACAACAACTGCAGCTGAAACCACAAGTACTACCACTAGAGCTGCAACTTCTGGTACATCCTTAGCAGTAGACACCACTGGTACGAGTACTGATGCAGAAACAACTGGTACAACAACTGCAGCTGAAACCACAATTCCCACCAGTGGAGCTGCAACTTCTGGTACATCCCATGCAGTAGACACCACTAAAGCGAGTACTGATGCAGAAACAACTGGTACAACAAATGCAGCTGACACCACAAGTCCTACCAGTGGAGCTACAAATTCTGGTACATCTCATGCAGTAGACACCACTAGTGCTACTATTGATGCAGAAACAACTGGTACAACAACTGCAGCTGAAACCACAAGTCCCACCAGTGGAGCTGCAACTTCTGGTACATCCCATGCAGTAAACACCACTAAAGCGAGTACTGATGCA